ACACACACACACACACACACACACACACACACACACACACACACACACACACACAACAACACACACACACACACACACACACACACACACACACAACACACATACACACCACGCCACACACATACACACCACGCCACAAACATACACACCACGCCACACACATACACACCACGCCACACACACACACATATATATTTATATATATATATATATTAATATTTATATATATATATAAAATATATTCTGACCAACACACACTCCACTCCCGACACACACACGCACACATACAAACAAACAAACAAACACAGACATACACAAACAAACACATAAATCCATCATGAACGACTCACCTATCGTCTGGCGCGAACTGTTTGTCTGTGAAGCCGTAGGTCTGTTCAAGTCGTTCTCGCTGCTGCTGCTTGTGGTACTTCGCTTGCAGCGGTGTCATTTTCCTCTCATTTACCTGTGGCTGTGGCTGTGACTGTGGCTGTGGTGTGCTTGGAATGGAGTGGTTGGTGCTGGGTTGTCGGGCCTTAATGCGCACCCGCACTTTGGCCACAGAAGGACTGGGACTCGCTCGTGACAGTGTAGGGCTCGTGTTTGTACTGGCACCTGCGGAGTGGAACGGTTGAGTGGGCGTTAGTGCAGGGTAGATGACTTGGTTAACCAGCCTATGGATATACACACAACCGAATGTATTCAAGTATACAGCCGCTACAGGTATGGCACGCACACACATATCCGCAGAGTATGGGCTCCACACATACGGGAACACGGCATGCTCTGTGCACGCGGTGTTACATTTTCCATCGGAACACGAACGGAAACAAAAACCAACCCCAAAACGAAAAGGATTGTTAGGGTTTAGGGTTTAGATATCAGAGCATTCGAAATACCTGAGCTCGTCCGACTGGGCGTGGGCGACGTTGCGAGGCGGATGGAGTGACCACCTGCACATGAGAATGTCCAGGTTGCATCCGAAGAAAAAGAGTGTAAGTAAAGAAGTGGTTTTAGGGTTTTTAGGGTTTTGGGAATGTACAAGTTGATTCCGAAGACAAACAGTGTAAGTAGAGAGGTGGTGGTAGGTGTGCACATCGGTGTTAGGGAGAGGGGACGTTGGGGTTCGGAAATGACCAATTAAAGCGCTGGGAGGTTTGGCGATGAGTTTGGTTTCGGTGGTGATAAAGGTTCAGATGCAGGTGCATCAGCAGAATGTATACGGCACGTGAAGCACTTTGAGCATTAAAAACCAACAGCCCCAGATATATATGCATATATAATATATATATATATATGTTTATATATATATATATATATAATATGTGATATCACCATACACCGACACATATACACACAAATGGGATTGCGAAGTACGTATTCTTAAACAGATATGAACACACTTGCAGACGATGATCAGACCCTGTCACACCAATATTGCACAATGACAAACAAGTCACACTGCAAGGATCGGTTGCATGGACATGTACAAACGGGTCTACAACGAATACCCTGTAGGCCCTGCGAGGCACCAGAGACTGCGACGCGCACGAATTCATGCGTATATTATGATAAACCTAGACAGATCAATAGATGTTAAATGGGACGTGAAAGTAAGGTATCGAGAGTGAACCGACCATCCTAAACTACACAGAGATGTAGATGTTAAATGGGACATGATAGTAAGATATCGAGAGTGAACCGACCATCCTGAACTTCACACAGATGTAGATGTTACATGGGACATGACAGTAAGATATCGAGTGTGAACTGAGCATCCTAAACTACACACAGATGTAGATGTTAAATGGGACATGATAGTAAGGTATCGAGAGAGAACCGACCATCCTAAACTACGCACAGATGTAGATGTTAAATGAGACATGATAGTAAGGTATCGAGTGTGAATCGACCATCCTAAACTACACACAGATGTAGCAGTACGTTCAGGTATATACCCGTGGAGGTGATACTGTTCAAACTGGCACGGCTGTTCTTATGCCACTAAACCCTAAACCCCAAAACCTAAACCCTTATACCTACACTCAGACAACACAATACAAGCGCATGCATGCCAATTATACCTACACTCGCTACCACAATACACGTACATATCCCCAGAGGTGACTGATGACACAGTACATGCACTCACCTGACGAGGGGTTGCTGATGAGGCTAGTGCGTTTGCTGTTGGTGCCAGAGTCTCTGCCGTTGCGTTGTGCCGTGGCATTCTGCAGAGCCGTACGCGTAAGCGGAGCATTGTTCCTCTCTCTGTGCAGAGTACATGGTGTGAAATACGTGGGAACGGAATAGGGTATCTGGGTTTGGGGTTCGAGAGTGTAGTGGTTTTACCTACTCATGTACGATGTGGGTTTTGGGAGTCAAATATTAGGGTCTAGGGTTTAGTGTTTAGGGTTTACGAAACGAGAATCGAGTTCATTGTCTATGAGGAGCCAATTTGTCTGGCAAGCGTGTAGGCGATATGGCATAGGGTTCAGAAAGGCATAAGTAATGCGTAGTCAGAAACAGCACAAGTAATACGAAGTCAGAGACAGCACAAGTAGTTCAAAGTCAGAAACAGGAGAAACAGGACATGTATAGTCGCGCACATACAAGCCACCACCAATAGTTAGGCGTGAGTGTGCCGTAGACGTGGTCTGTGGACTTTCCATGTGCGTACTAGTGAGACAACCTATAGTAAAGAAGCGCGTGCTTGTTGATTTGCGTCGGAAATGGGTCTACGGATGTACCAGATGTCAGCCGCAATGCCTTGTGAATCAGTGTCGAACACAAAAAACCCTAAAAACCCTAAAAAGACGTAGGAGTCTCCAGCAGTGAGAAAGAGTTCATAACCCGAATACATACACAGCAGCAACTGCGATCACAAGCACCTGAACTTACAACACCACACGCGCAACCTACACAGACAGACACAGACACAGACACAGACACAGACACAGACACCGACACAGACACAGACACCGACACAGACACAGACACAGACACAGACACAGACACAGACTCCTACGCACACATACTTTCCGGACGATGACTGTGCTCGTGATCTACCATCCAGCAAGTGGCCGGTGCTGGCAGACTCCACGGGGTGCTCTGGCACCATCATGGACTGTGTGCGAGCATTCCTATCCTTCAATGACACTCGCCTGTTCTGTGTGCGCGTCTCTATGACTTCTGAGTCGTCTCGGCTGCCCCTGCGCATAACGCCTGCGGTTTCGATGGAGTCGATGGATAGCCTGTGTGGCTGCTGTGGCTGTCTGGTCAGAGATAGCTGTCGCTGTGCCCGTTGCGGCGTGTGGGGGTGTGGTGTGTAATGTACGGTAGGTGGGGCGGGATTTGGCCTAGGATGATGCGAGACGTGGTGTTGTAGTTGGTGATATAGTTGTGGTTGTTGGTGTTGTTGCTCGGTATCATGGAGCTGGTATAGTGACTGTCCCTGCAGGTATGTGTTTGGGGTGAGATGAGTGGGAGGGGTTGTTAGTATGAGTTTGCGTCTGTGCGGCTGTGTATGCTAGTAGCATACATGAGCGGAATCACGAGACAATAAACACTTGACAACCCTAAACCCTAAAATCCTAAGCCCTAAAACCCTAAGCTCGGTATGCTAGTATCATACATGCGAGAAATCACGCGATAGCAAACACTTGCCGTCTTTATAACTCATAAAATGTATGTCGACACAATAAACATGCACGATATGGGGCTGACATAACACCACACATGAATAGATAGGCAGGAAGGGTAAAAACACTACATATATTCCCTTTCAATCTAAATCAATACAACACCACACATGAATAAATAGGCAGAAATGGTAAACACACTACATATATTACCTGTCAATTTAAATCAACACAACACCTCACATGAATAAATAGGCAGAAATGGTAAACATACTACATATATCCCTTTTCGATTCGAATTCACATGGGTGAGAGAGGAACGGTCAAACCCACAAATACATAGTGGAGAAATTCAAGACCACAAATATACCGCCCAGGTCTATGGGGCATGTGGTAACCAGCACAACGACGCAGGACAAATCCCCACCTACTACATCTACAAACCCTACTACACCTACGATACCTACTTAAACTACAACCTCTACCAACCCTACAACCCCTACAACCCCTACAACACCTAATACATCTACAAACCCTACAACACCTACGATACCTACTACATTCACCTACAAACCCTACAACACCTACAGCACCCACAACTCCCAAAACCCCTACCACGTTCGCAGACTCGGGCGTCTTCAACGAGGCGCTGCTGTTTCGCTTGAGCGGTCTGACGGGCACAGGCGAGTCTGCTTCACTGGGCGTGTTGCTGGTATCACGCACATGGCTGGGTCTAGGGTTGTGGCTGTGGTTGTGATTTTTAGGGTTTACAGGACTAGCCATGCTCACCTCCTCGGCCTCATACCTCCCTTCACTCCTCACACTGCTGCGTGCACTGCCGCTCACACTCGCATCCCCATCCGTGCCCCTGTGGCTCTCCCATGGCCCACTCCGCCTGTTTATTGATCCTGATGGCTTGGGTGTTTTGCCCTTAACTGTGGCTGTGGCTGTGGTTGGGGTTGGCCTGGCCTCACCCGAAAATCTGCAACTGAGGTGCCTACTGCTCTCAGTGTCTGCCCCTGCCCGTCCATTCGTGTGGGCCTCTGCCTGTCCCGTTGTGGGGTGTGTAGGTGCACTCGTAGTCGCAGGTGTCACGCCCTGGGCTGTGGCTGTGGCTATGGCTGTGGGGTTGGGTTTGGGGTTGGGTTTGGGGGTGGGTGAGTGTGTGTCGTTGGGGGTGTTCCTACCACTTCTCACCCCTTGTGGCTTGGCCAATACCACGCGCTTCTTCATCGTGCGCTTCTTCTTTTTCTTTTGGCTGTGACTGCGTATGGGCCCTCCATCGGATAACGAGCCACCGTCCTCTGCCCTGTCGTCGTCACCGCCGGTTCTGTAGGTAACGGACGAGTGGAGGTTCGGGAGATACGTATGAGTTTGATACGCAGATGTGTGAGAAATAGGTGGTTCGAAGAACCCTATATACTTGAACGCACCTGTGTGTACTTGGATTGTATTTCTCCCAGAAGCGTCATGAATCATGCAAGTATATATATATATATATATATATACTTACATACATATATATATATATATATATATATGCACATGTACATATACATATA